TTTCATAATTTCAGCGTCTCATAAATTTCAGCGTCAGTTAATTTCAGCGTCAAAATAGTTCAGCGTCAAAATAGTTCATAATTTCAGCGTCAAAATAGTTCATAATTCAGCGTCAAAATAGTTCATAATTTTCAAAATTTCATAATTCAGCGTCAAAATAGATCGTTCATAATTTCAGCGTCAAAATATCAATTTCAGCGTCAAAATAGTTCATAATTTCAGCGTCAAAATAGTTCATAATTTCAGCGTCAAAATAGTTCATAATTTCAGCGTCAAAATAGTTCATAATTTCAGCGTCAAAATAGTTCATAATTTCAGCGTCAAAATAGTTCATAATTTCAGACAGGGACGAAAGCACTTCATAAGTATGCCAAAAACGGTCATGAACTTCCGAAATGACGTATTATCATCTCCTCTCCTGACGCCCATCTCAGAGAGTGTATTCGGGGAAGGCTAGGTCAGTAGCAACTCGAGTAGGTGTCTTTTTGACGATTGTTCAATGAAAATATAACCATTAAAATAATCTTTGAAAATTGAAGAGACCAAAATGATCGACCATATTCACAAAGCATCTTTAGTGACGTCATCAAGTGTTTTTTTTCCAAAAATAGAATCAAAAATGTTTTCCGGAACTTTTGTGACGTCATCAAAAATGTGCTTTTTCCAAAAATAGAATCAGACGCCATGACACCTCCTCGAGTTGCTACTGATCTAGCCTTCCCCGAGAATATTCGCCGACAACCAACCAGTCCTTCGCGACATTCGACATTTGTAAATAAATCTGGCATACTAAAACAAAGAGAGAAAAAAGGTCCTTAAGATGCTGATACAAAATGACCTCAAAAAAAAAAAAAAAAAAAAAAAAAAAAAAAAAAAAAATCTACTGATTCTACACAACATCCTGTAGAATCGCGGTCCTTATGTCCTGATATGAAAACATGACGTCATTCCCCTTCTCCTTCGCTTGCACTATCAGCTGTTTGGCACTATCAGCTGTTTGGCACTATCAGCTGTTTATTAGCTTTGGCACCAGCTGTTCGGCACTATCAGCTGTTTGGCTCAATTAGCTGTTCGGCAATATCCAATATCAGCTGTTTGGCATTATCACCTGTTTAGCACTATCAGCTGTTTCTACCTTTCCGTCCCAGCTTACGCCACATTTGCACTTCGTTGCCAACGTAGGTACTCCTATGGTTGCCTCAAGATGTACCTCAACACTCAAGTGTTACTTTCTGTGGCAGTGCAGCACCGTCTTTGACTGCGTGTAAGATGCACTTTTTTAATAGGTCCACATATGGTAACTATATGCTTCTTGTACACACACATACGTAGACACATAGTGTACATACACGCATGTATAAAAACACAGAGATAATGATGATGATGATAATAATAATAATAATAATAATAATAATAATATAATTAACAACAACAATAACAATGATAAAAATGATAACAATAATAACAATAATAATGATAAAAATTATAACAATACTACTACTAATAACAATAATAATGATAAAAATGCTAACAATAATAATAATAATGATAATAATAATAATATAAATAAAAAAATAAATAATGATATACGGATGCGTTTAAAGTTCTTCTGCATCTAATATGCTGTTAACTATCAGTGACTAAAAGGGGACATGTAAGGGTATGTATGCTACATACCATAATGACAGGGACTAACAATGTCTAAATAAGGCTATGCTTAAAAACATCGCCTAAAAAACGAGTGAAGGAACTATTTGGGGCAAACATTTTCCCTTTCCATCTGTCCCTCGACTGAATTTGCGACGAAAAACAATCCAAGAATAGAACAGAAGACTCAATTATTTTATTAACAACTCCGAGAGAGAGAGAAAAAAAAAAACAACAACAACAGATGACTCAATAATCTCAATCATTCCTTGAGACACGACTTGAAAATCTCCAGGAACTCAGAGCCATCGATACCTCCATGTTATTAAACTCTCGCAAATAACACGCATCAAGATAATAACACCATAACCCCATAACATTACTCCCTCACCCCCCCCCTACCGAGCTCAAAACCCCCCCAAGCACGAGGCGTCAACAGGCAGAGTGGCACCGCGAGGGAAGGTGCCACCACAGGGTGCCACAACATCAACACACCAAGCAGCGCGGCGTTCGGCTTCCTAACGTGGTTATAACAATCTCAACAAGTTTGGAAACACAAGGTAATAAACCCTTAGTTGATCAACCGCGACAACTTGGTAAGGACAAGTTCAGAGACTCCGGGAACTCGTCACGCTTAAGTTTATAACTGACTATAACTTTGGCAAAGTGCGGTGGCCGGGAGGGGGGGGGGAGGGGCAGGGTGGAGGGGGGTGATGGGCGATGGAAGGGGGAAGGGGGTGGACAATGGAAGGGAAAGGGGAAGGGAAGGGGAGAAGGAGGGACGGAGGAATTACAAGTGGAGGCGAAGCAACAACACGATGAGAATGGAAACTTCGTCGACATCCGAAGAAAAATGATATCATCAATAGACTCGATCAATAAGACCTTGATAAATCAAATTAATGACAAGGCACACACACACACACACACAACAGCACGCAAACATCCCTCCCCCACAACCCCACCCCCACACCCCACATACCCCAGAAAGCGAAGCGGCGCCGCCCCCTTCCCCTTCCGTGCCACGACATCCGGGCATAATAGCACGATTAGCGCCCCCCTCCTCCCGCGGTAAATAACTCATCTAACGTTTAATTAACTGCATCGACCGTCGTCCGCCGCCATCATCAACTCTCCTCACGTCAAGGCTTAAACTCCGGATCAATAACGAGGCTGGAGTGTCTTCGCGGAGCGCCCCGACGATAAGCCTACGCCGATTAGTGTTCGATGGGGGAGGGGGAGGGGAGGGGAGGGGGGAGAGGAGGGGAGGGGAGGGGAGAGGAGGGGAGGGGAGGGAGAGGGGGAGGGGAAGGGGGAGGGAGGAGGGGAAGGGGGGAGGGGAGGGAGGGGAAGAAGGGGGGGAGGGGAGGGAGGGAGGGAGGGGATGAAAGGGGAGCGAAGGGGGGGTTAATTAACGGCCAATCAAGGCAGAAGGTAGGTAGGGGAAGGGGGGGGGGGGAGGGGGGGCTTAAAATTCGCTGATTATCGCTAAGGGAAAAACAGGAGGATAAAACGGGAAGATCCAATATAATACATTGTACGGATTTGATAAAGGAAAAAGAAAAAAAAAAAAAAAAAAATCCCAAATTCATGTATGGTACTTACTCACACGCAACATCCTGCTTCCGTGTTACTGCGTCTACACGGTTCGCCATAAAATTACGAACAGGTTTTCACTTACACACAAGCGTACACAGAGGCATCGACTTCCACACCCACATACAACCACGCATCCACACACATAAGCCCAAATAAATATACTTTCATACTTTCCTGCGGCCATTATTCTGCAAGTCGAGGATATGACACATGACAGTCAACCAATTTCTGTTTAATTACAGGCCATATGACATGAACAAAGGCATGCTGTGAGAAGAAGTAACTAGCATTGCGAGAACATTATTTAACAAAGTCTGTAGAGGTTTTATCATAAGAAAATTTTGGGTTTGTTTGTGCTGTTCATTAAATCTTGAAGTCCAATGTACAAAACAGCTGGGCGGGCTAATGTCGACCTTACGAGAGCAGCGGCAGCAGGACTAAAG